TTATATATCGTACAAAACATTTAATTATTACTATATCTAAAATTATAAATGTTTACAAAAACCATATAATCCATATTGATAATGTCTTTAAACGGCAATTCTAATGAATAAATTGCAAAATAAATTGCCTGTACAATATGTTGAGAGCCTTGTTATTAGTCAAACGCATACAACGGCCTACTATGCCGTGAACGGGTTGACCCGATTTTGAAAACCCGACAATATTTATATATCCGGTGGCAAAAAACTCCGAGGGATAGTATTCGGCCACAAATGGCTTATTGGTTTCATTGTGTAATGAATGGGACTCTATCAACACTGACAGTGGGTTGAAAGACCTTATGATTGAAAGTGGTGAAAATTTATTTAATTCTGGATTTAATAAGGTAGTATAAGCCGGGAAGCAGACATTTGCTCGAAAACATTTGCTCGAAGGACATTTGCTCGAAAGACATTTGCTCGAAAGACACTTGCTCGAAAGACATTTGCTCGAAAATTTTTAATTTAATTTGCTTTAAATACATTAATCCCTACACATTTGGGCCAATCGGCTCATAGACTCAGTCAACGGTATATCGTGAATGCGGGCCAATACGGCCACACCATTGTTGAGGCCGTCATATCGACCCCCTGTGTCTCTCATGTCGTTTTCAAATGAGTAAATATCGTTACAAATGACACCCGCTTTGGCCAATACGGATAGCAGGCGCTGATACTCGGGATTCCGCCACTCGTCGTCCGGTACGCGCAGATCGTAGGCGTATTCGCACATTAGGTATATTGGCTTAAATCCCACTAATATTCCTCTAACCTGGTTCAATGATACTACAGTTTTTATAGCGTACTATATTTAATACAAGTAATATCTAACAACTTACATCATAAAATTCATCGATATTGGTAAATTTTCTATCGCTATTCAAATGTTTGCATTCTTTTATCATAGCGTCTGTCCATTGAGTCCACAGCTCAATAAATCGACGCCTTTGACAGTCGTCTAAGTTGGCGAATATGGCTTCATATATGGCGTAAGCGCCCAATATATAGGGCGGCCAGCGGTGAGTGTCCACCTGTCGCCCGGCACCCGAAGTCAATAGTAGCTTATCGTACATTTCATACAATTGGCCGGCAATGGCATCGGCTTTGCCGGTACTGTCACTGTCCGGTTCGGCGTACGGCGCTACCAAATGTTCGTCTATTATAAAAATGTTAACCAATTGCCGGTTTAACAGGTCGTACCGGCGCTCGTCATTGCAATACGGATAGAAATAGGCGGTGAACAGACACGGGTTCGTCAGTCTATTGCACTGGTCGTCAGTGAATAGGCTCGACTCGATTAGCCATTGCCGGGACGGGGACTCCAACCGATCGTGTAATGGGTTGCATTGATAGGGCAGTGTTGTTACCGCCAGAGTCGGCACCGAGTATTTGCAGTCGACAATTGGATTATTGTTATCGTCCATACTTTTTAATTTAGTGTTCATATTTTTGTGTATCGTTTTTATAAATATTTAAGCAGTGTATATTAAATTTTCACTATAAAGATAATGTTAAATTCAAACTGGTTTTTATAGACAAATTCTAAAACACGTGTCAATTTATTCTGTGTCGGCTTTATTAACATAATGCAAAAACATAACAATTTTAATAAATCAAATACTACTTACAAAATAATTGTTTTGTTTGAGAGTTATTAAAATAAACACAAAATAAATTAGTATGTGTATAAAGATTTCTATTAAAAATAAAGAGGATGCGCATCTGTGTGTTAGCGGGCACTCGGGAATTATTGTTATAAAATAAAAGTACACTCAATGGGTAGTCGAGTGATATAATTCATATGTCCAGATTCCCTCGGGTCTGGCCGCAGTGACCACTTTTATCGGCAAAATTTTTAAAATCAGATCTTTTAATTTATGAATAAGTATATCATATTATATATCGATAGAAAGGTATTGATGAGAGGAATATTATTCTGAAGGAACTTTCAAATTTGGACATCATAGGAAAAAGTTATTTGAAAAATAAGAAATTTCGTAATAAATAAATACGTTTTTTATTACGACTAACGTAATTATTTTACTTCACATACATCAATTTTAACTGCGATTACAAACATAATTAAATTACTGAAATAAAAATTGGTCAAAATTTTTAATGCAAAATTTTTGGCATTTTCACCATTAATTTTGCGCAAACTTCTTTGATGTTAACATTATCTCAATGAAGAAAATTACTAAATTTTATTTTTTTGGATATTGTTTTAGATTTATATGGTCAATCATATTGTTATGAGGTGAGCCCTTACCCGAGCTGCACTCCACAAAACTATGTTATGAGGCGAGGCCTTACCGGGCCTAACGGCTCACAACTGTTTACTTTAATCATCGGTTACATTGATTACAAAATTATAAAAATTCATGTCTCATAAAATTTGAATAAGTTTTTAATGCTAATGAAAAGCATGTTTTAGAATGCTAAATTATGTTAACTCATTGTGTTATAACTTGTGCCATTACAACCATAATTTAATAGTGAATGTCAGCCATAACTTTGCGTGTATTAAGAGAAAGAAAGATTTTTTAAAAATAGTATTAAATTTATCATTTAAAAAATTGTCATAATTGTTTTTTAAGTGAGACAAATGCTGACCCGTACGATTGCGATTAATAATGGCAACAAACCTGACGGCTATGACAATGGGTCAGTGCGTTCGGGACACCACTATTCGGGGCATTAAAGATTTTTTGTCACTTTTCTATATCATGTCTCCCTATGAGACCACTTATGATAACGCTATCGATGTTCCCGATTATGAAGTCAATGTAAGTTATATAACGTGTGACCACTGGTCAGGCATTTACCGAATAAGTAAATTAGGTTAGATTTAGAAACCGTTATATTTTGTTCGGTAAAGTTTTCCCCATTGTCATAAGGGTTAACACTTGTGTAAGTAATAGGTGTGTTATATAGATGGCGAGCTGACCCAGTCTGATTGTGCGTAGATTTACTACCGTTGAATTTATCCTAATATTTAATTGGCACTAATTTAATTAAATTTTTTAATTAAATGTATAATATTATGGTATTTGTAAAAACATTTTATTTTTAATTAGACATTACAACCTGTTTTTGAATTTTACTTGTATTGCATAATCTGTTGCCTTAAACTAAAATGATAAAATACAGTAATTATTATCAATAGTATTGATGCAAATGATTGCCCCGTCGGGTGGGCTTTTTAAACCAAATTTAATATTTGGTCAAGTGAAACAACTGGCTGGTACTACCACTAAGCTGGCTTATACTACTATATTAAATCCAGAATTAAGTTAATTTTCACCACTTTCAATCATAAGGTCTTTCAACCCACTGTCAGTGTTGTAGAGTCCCATTCATTACACAATGAGACCAATAAGCCATTTGTGCCCGAATCCTATCCCTCGGAGTTTTTTGCCACCGGATATATAAATATTGTCGGGTTTTCAAAATCGGGTCAACCCGTTCACGGCATAGTCGGCCGTTGTATGCGTTTGACTAATAACAAAGCTCTCAACATATATTACAGGCAATTTATTTTGCACATATACGCTGATTTTATTCGCAAAAATAAAAATGGCCTGTCATATCACAGTTTCATGAATATGACACCTGAAAATTTTATATTATGTGAGCATGATTAAATACAATTACATATATTGTAATGCAATTAATTTGACTATTTACCAATTTTGTATCAAACATAATAGCTCCTTTGCACGATATGGCAGTTATGGTTAATAAACAACATAGAGAACAACGGGGCATTGCATACAATGATGATCCGTTATTTTCAACCATAATTATTTTTGCTCTTCAATTTTTTAACCCTAATATTCGTAATCGAATCATAACCAAGAAAATAACGGACGAAGAGTTGCTAAGTCTGGATGCGGTGCCGGTCTATGCGGGCGGAAGAAACACCAGTTATCATCGAATACCACCGAAGGTTAAGAGTGGCACATGTTTACCACATCTCAATATATCTAGAAGTGATTGGAATTTGTTTATTAAGACTAATATCAAGTGTATTGAAGAGGGGAGACGTGAGAGCGGGAGTCAATCTATCAATGAGTATCTTAAGATTTGTAAATAGGATTGCCAACTCGGATTGACTACCACCTTGAAAATACAAAAATCTTCTAACTTGAACAAACCTTGACCACTATTATTATTGCATATTTGATTATAAATATTTTTGAAATATGAGTAAAATGTCAATTAATGTTTTAATAACATTAAGTTTTATTATAATAAAGTGTGTTTTCCATATAAGATACTAGCTTTTCAAGACAAAATTCTTTCGTTTGAAGATTTTTAATAAAATGTTTGTTTTGCTATTGTCAAAATAGGCAATAAATATTATTCTGGGTCTTAAATAGTGTGGTCATTACAATAAATACCTAAAGTAGACATCCGGTAATTACATTTGCTCTTACCTTGACCTGTCTATGTCATGGTAAGACCTTCGCCTATCATCTTGACCAGTTGGCAACCCTATTTGTAAAACTTTACCAACATCAAAACAAACCCAAAACCAACTCAAAAGCAACCAAAACCAAAACAACCCCAAAATCGAACCAAAACAAACCCAATACCAAACAAAACAAAATCAAGAACAAACCCAAAACTAATCCAAAACTAACCCAAAACCAAAACAAACAATAAACCAAAATTAAACTAAAATTATACTAAACCAAAACTGAACCAAAAATAAAAATTATAATTTTTTTAATCACTAATACAAAATGATTATTAAGGTAATTAATATTCAAAATATATTCAATTATACTTAATATCGAATAATAAATTTTAACAAAAATTAAAATGATTTTTAATTCAATTAAAAGTTACAAAATAAAATAATTATTATTATGCATTATTTCGATAAAGATTATAAAGATAGTATTAATAATAAAAAAAATACATGATTGTTGAGAATAGTAAGAAATATAATCTCATTTTAGAGCATCAATAATCTTGTCGGCGATAATTGGTTGAGAAAAGTCCATAGCCTTAACGTCCGCATCAATCATGTCAATCGTAATATTCTCACTGCAATCCTAAAAAATAAGGTAATAAACTTAATAAACTACACTAATTATTCACTAATATCTAAATTCTATGTAATCAAACGTTTGCATACCTGAGCGCTCGGCAAAAAATACGAGTGACGGGTCTTCTCGACAAACTCGTCCACATTGGGGACCGACGCGAACGCAAACGGCTTAATAATCAACAATTTGCCCCTCATTTTGGACCACTTGTTGCGCACAACGGCTCCCATGAGTCCACTCGTCGACAGTTTCTTCTTCTTCGACAACCGATACTCACATAACATACGAATTCTGTCTAACATTGAGTGCAATATCTCCTCCATATGTGTGGCCACCAGTCCTTTGCCGGCAAACTCTATCATTTCATTCGCTATGTATTTGATGTTGACCTGAATATTGGGCTCCTGTTTCAACGCCCGTATCATACGCTCCTTCAACGACTCGGGCAACTCATTGGACAACATGTTTAGTAAAAACTCCAGTAAGTTCTCGGTTTCATCGGCCGGGAAATCACTGTTCATAGTATTAAAATCAATGATAACCGCTCGACCCACCTGTCCCTTTAACAGTAATTGCCCGCAAGCGATCGCGGTGTCAAAATAGCCAACTACATCGCATTTACCCCGTTGGGCACTGTCGCCCTCCAGTAATTTTATTAGCCCTTGGTAGTATTTATTAATCTCGTTCAGAGTGGTCAGTTTACTGACCTCCCGGGTCCAATTTAGTCCAATTACCGGGCGATTAATGCGCCTGGCCACATCGGTTAATTGCGCAAAACTAACTAATAGTGTTGGCATAAAATACACAGGTATCCCGCTTTGTATCGCGTTCAATTTGGTGTATTGTAAATCCGGTATAATAAAATCCAATTTTAACAAATTAGCCTTGCATCTTCGAATAGAATCCAGGTGCATTTCGATGCTCACTTTATTGCCTGCCTCGTAGCCCTTCAACATACCAATGGTTATACTTTTCACCTGATTTAGTGATAACTTAATATTCCATTCCCTCTCCAACTCCTGCTGTAACTTAACGGCAAACATGGATTCGATACCAATCTCGCCGAGAGTCAAGTGGTTGGGTGTGGTCTCCGGATCGATGCCCAGCGCTCGCCATAACTCTTTGATAACTCGGCTGTCATGGCTTAACGTAACAATTTGAGTTTGGTTTGTTCTCACCTTCAAATGAATATTGTATTTAATTTTTTAATTTAACTTTTAAATTATATCTATTCATACATATGATGTGACAATCGGCTGTTTAATTGCCAATAATTTGTCCAAAACATCACAACACGAGTTGATTCGCTGGCTTTGTATAGAAGTAAATGACAACATTTGTTGATCAGAATCAACAAACGCTCCGACATCACCGATGGGTCCGTATTGTATGGCGAGTCCGTGCAGACCATCCCTACGTCTCTCTTCACATATACGCTCACACATGGAGTTTCCGAAAGCATAGTTTGATTGCCCGGCGCTTCCTTTACCACAAGCCAGGGATGAAAAGACAACGAAATAATCTAATTTATAATCCAATTGTCGGGTCAGTTGATCCAGATTTGCGAAGATCTTGTATTTCGTATCAATAGATGAACAAAACTTTTCAAACGTTAGATTGTTTAATAAACAGTCATTTAATTCAAGAGCCAAATGAAATACCCCTCCAATGGGTCCCAATTCTTTGGCCTCATTTAGCAATTGTTTTGTGCCTTCAATTGTGAACCCATTGGCAGTCGAGACAATCCATTGAGACTTAAAAAACTTTTGTCTTTCACCGAAACCATTAAAGCGATTGTAAATAAATTTCTGGTAATCAGTTTTAAGGCCAGACCTGGAGGTGACCACAAACTTTCGGGCGCCTGAATATTGCATCCATGGAATCAATTCCAGACCAAAACCACCCAAACCTCCGGTTATTATATAGACTTTGTTTGGATCGAAGAATGTCTTCGCGACTGTTATCATACCAATCGCCGGTTTAATTATTTTCATTGCTTTTCTTTCCATCTCTTCGTCTCTCATTTTAATGACCACTTTTCCGATGTGTTTACCGGTTGTCATATAACGAAAGGCATTTACTGCTTCGGCCGCCGGAAACACAGTTTGATTGATTGGTTTTACGCAACCGTTTGTAATGTTTTTGTGAACCCAATCAAAAAATTCGGGCAAAAATTTTGGATTTCTTTCTACGACGA